TTTCATGTTTTTTGGGGAGAATTCTTAAAATTATCAAGAAATCTTCCTGGAACTCATCTCCAATTTCTTTGAGAGAAAAATTGTCCCACTGAGGAAAAATGAGCAAACCAAAAATCTCAAGATTATTCTTCAAATTATCAAGCAATCTCCCCAAAACGTATCTCCGATTTCTAGGAGATAAAAAATGTCCCACTACAAATGGGTTCCCTTTCAAAATTAGATACTAAAGAGCGAACCTTTGACGCGTCAAAATTTTGAATAAAAACATGGAAGTAAATGTCGAAACGCAACAAAAATCCCCGAAAAAAACCAACATGAAGTAATACAAGACCCAAACAAAAAAAAGCTAACCGTTTCAAACGTTTGCCCGATCTGCTGAAGTCCTTTCCTCAGCCTCTGGTACTCCGACACCAGCACCTGGTCGTTCATCTTCCCGAACACATCATCTAAAACTTCGATCTAAAAAGATAAATCAGCATCAAAACATGACTCTCGAAAAACATGTTCTTTCCACAGTACATCCTTTTTTCTTCACGGAAAACAAGCAAACTCACACAGTCTTTCGTGACAGACGTTCTGGACAATCCAGTGGGATTATCCGCATTTGCAATCGCATTTAATACCGACAAAGCGTCTTCGTGTCTGTTCAGCAGCGCCAAAGTCATGATCTAACGAAGTAAATACAGTAATCTAATTAGAAAATAAAAACTACACAATCAAGATCACCATTGAACGTTTTTCACCAACAGAATCTAAATGATGAATGAAAAATTTCACAATATGATAAGTCCTGTATTTCAACGAAAAATATAAAATTAAAGCTCAAGCACCTCAATTATTCATGAAAAATTATAGCTAAATTATTTCAATCATTAACGAGAACCTCATAGCCACGGTAAATAAATTTTCCAGGAAAAATTAAAATTATCATATCTCAGAGAAAATTTTCTATCAATTCTGGAGTTACCTTGAGATTCCGAACAGTGACGTAATTGGGCTGCGGAGAAACTGCCAAAACCTCCGCCGCTTCCTGCAGCTTTTTCTGCTTCAGCCCAAGGCCAGCATTGAAGCAAACAGCTTTCCGCGTCAATTCGGCCCCGGATTCTTGAGCATTCCTCAATATCCTGGAAGAATAATCCCAACTCTCCGGCGTATTCTGAAAAAAAATGCGAACAGTTTCAAATGCAAAAGAAATACTAGGAAATATATTGTTACAAAAAAGTTACCATTGAGATCCCGGAAAATATTCTTCAGGCACACAATTTATCACATAGAAATGAATACATAAATTGTACCTATTTGACAGAGGCCTAAAAAACGAATTTGTCGTGAGCGATCATTTTTTTCAACAAGATTCTGCTGTATAACAGTCAAAGCTCTTCAGACAAGGGACAAAGAGAAGCTCGATTTGTTGAGATCAAACAAAAGAAATACTCCTTCAGAACACACTCCCAATTCCTTAAAATTAACGAACACCCAACTATCACGCAGAAATGACAAATTTGAACGGGAACACGGAAGTGGTCGACAAAAAAAAAATGTGTTTACCAGTTTGTAGCAGGCAGCAAGCGCTAAATTACAAGCACTCTTTGGAAACTTGTTGTTCTCAAACTGCTTGTCCAGGAGCTTGTCCATCACTTGCAAACACTCCTCGTAGTGCTGGTCCTTGTACAAAATGTCCATGCACAGGATGAAGCTGCTCACTTGGTCAAAGAACCCTTCCAATTCAGGGTCCATCAATGCCTGAAAAATGAGCAGGACCAAAACGATCATTCATAGAGAATTAAAACCTTTTTTTTCCCCGCCTCAACTTATTTCTTGAATAATCTTCCAGGAAATCGTTCCCTCCTTAACGGCATAAACATTATTATTCTTTTTCAGAACCATTTTTGAAAAGTTAGGAAGCGGTCAATGATGAATAGTTCTTACAAGCTACAGTATATGAAGAGAAAAATACAGTAGGACCCCGAGATGCGGAGGCAATGGATACTTTTTCTTTGTCTCCATGTTGGAACGTCTACATGACACATCACGTTTACTCATTAACTTCAATGGGAAAATCTTCAATTGGTTCTTCAGTTTTAACAAAAACAAGATAAGTTTCCCAATAATTTGGATAAAAATGCTTTCAACCGTTCAGAAAAAAACCATCGCATAATCTGATATTACGGCATGAATAGGAGCTTGAGAAGAAAAGAATGAGCACAAGTTTCGCTATACAGTACTGTGCATGAATGCGGAAAAAAACTTGAAAAAACAAAACAAAGGGCAACATCGGCCTGTTTTGGATAACAAATTAGAGAAAACATATAATAAAATGTATTCTCAATTTTTTAAAGATATAAATAGTTTGATAAATTGTTCAAGATACAAGAAAATTTGTATCCAAATTTGTATCTGTATATTTGTATAGTATTGTATATTTGTATCTGTGTATTTGTAATTTGTATATTTGTATCTTATGAGTGAGCTAAAATGCTTCCCTTTTTTGTGAGAATTTCGGCGAAGTGTTTGTATTTTGAGACATTGTACGAATTTTGGGGCAGATTTCTTCGATAGTACGTCCGGAAGTCGGGGCCCACTGAATTTTTCATCATTGATAAAAGATCCTTTCATCGTTCTATACAAACAAAAAACTCGAATTCCAAGCAAATTTGTATTCAACTGCTAATACAACCATCCAGAACAATGTGAAATTTAGTATAGTTTTGTAATTTTACCAAAGAATCTCAACTTGACTACAACTGAAGTTGATTCAGAGACAAAAACAGAATCTAAGATGGTTCAGAAAATCAGGTAATCGAAGTACGAAGATGTTAACGATAAAAAAGACCCCCAAATGTTTCTTTCACTGCATGACATAGAAAAGAATCGCAAATCTTTTCCTCTCTTCACACAGAAAAGAATTTCAATTTGCCAACGGTAAATTTCCCAAAATCGCATTCACAGGCGAAATTCAGGTACTCAACTCGTTGGCGCAAAATTACCAACTCACTGAATATAGATAGCTGAATTTGTTCAAAAGATATCGAAATTTTGCAAATTACAAGTTTTCCGTTCTTCTAGAAATTCTAGCAACGTGACTCAATCCCGAGACAACGTCAATATGCAGATCTTTCGAGTTTCAAGTGACCCTAAGATCAATTGTTCGCATGTCGGTGCCCCCTCCCCATGAAAAACAAAAGAAAACTGACCCTCAGAGCAACGTCGGATCTGCCCAAGTGATGCAACAAACGCATGACAACCGGGCCAAAAATGAATCCGCCAAACCGCAGCGACTTGTTCTGCACGTGGAACCGCTTCACCATGCCCATGACAAGATCCACGTCGGATTCCTGCGCCAAATAAAGCATGTTCTTCAAATCCTCGGTGAAAACCATCGACTTGGTGTCTTTCGTGTCCAGGAATGTCTGCATTCGGGTCTTGAACCTGTCGCCCATCTNCGCCAAACTGACGCTTCGTCCTGTCACAGGTACTGGCGAAGTTGGTGAGGCCCAGGGACTCGGGTGCGTAGAGGGTTCTGACTTGGATGAAGGCTGCTGTTGGGGGAAATCGAAGCACAGACATTTAATTGATGATCACAGATCATATCAAAGAGTGCTCAAAGAGTTCCCCGAACGTTCTACGAGTCACATATAAGCAGTCTTGGAATTCTTCCAAAAAATATGTACAGTGAGACCCCCACATGCGGACAATTCGACATAGGGACACTTGCTTTCCTATAAAAAAGTAATAAAAAATGCCCAACATGAGGACACTGACTTGACATAGGGACATTTTGCGATAAAACTGAAAATAAGTTTCAGGCCAAATTACAAGAAACAGATATTTCCAACCATACAATTGAAGTAAGAAAAGTTCTTGGGCATTTCTCTTACCAATTTATGAGTTAATTAGTTAATATGAGTTATTTAGTTAATTTTAAAAAATTACCTCCAGCATAGAGGAACTTCCTTCTTTCTTTTTCACTTGAATGTTATTTTTACAGAGAATACCAACATTTCTATGTACTGTACAGAGGTATCAGTATTCAATTCCCCAAATGTCCATATTGTGTTAAAATATATTGATTGAATCAGTTTGAATTGGGAGACAATTTTTATTTTCATGTAATTATGGTGAGTATTTAGTTGAATATCAATTAAACATTACATAATGTAAGTCTAAGGGAAAATTAGACTCAACTTAGGGACACTCTTGATGCACCAATTACGTCCGCTTCTCAGGGTCCCACTGTGATTTCAGTTTAGATGTACTGCGTAATACTTCACAATTACATACACGATAAATAAATTTTGACCTCAGGAACTATCAATCTTTCATAAAAAAAATAATGAGGGCGATAAACACAAAGAGTACAATCGGACCTTAATAACTCAAAGTTTGGCAAATAAAAAGCCTCCCTGAGTCAATTTTGCTCAGTTCCTGTCCCTGAGTTTCAATTGTTTTATCAACAGACCACTAATTATTCAAACTCATTTATTCTGCCCTTAAGGCGCATAAGATCACAAATTCTAGTTTCCTATAACTCTTGCTTTTCATATTCAGCGAAAAAAAAAAGATTTTCTTTGCTGGAAACCTCCCTAAGGCAAATTTATTTTGCTGGTCCCTTGAAGTTTGACGAAGAGTTTTCAACTGTACCCCATCATGGTGTTTTGAACCTTGCTTCACGTAAACCCAATTTTTCTTGCTATCTTTCATTTGAGTTAAACACAGGCTTCAATCAATCCATGAGATTCAA